TGTGTGTGAGTGTGGAAAAATTTCTTGAGGAAAATGCAAAAATATTTTTTTTTGTTGCATGCTGCTGCTTTTCCACCTTCGTTGTTTTTGGGGTCTTTTTTTTGCCATTGAGCAAGTGAGTCGTGAGTTGAGTCCCAGTTTTTCATCTTTGTTTTTCTTTTACGATTTTTCCAGCTGTTTTTTGCAACTAGTTTTTGCATTAAGTAATTTGAATGATGTCCTATAAATTTAATTACATAAATAAATAAGTCAGGTTTAAACCAATTCAAATTGAATATTCTTCTTAAAGTGTCCACAGCGGAAGTCTAGGACTAAACTCATTCCCCAAAACTTTTGGCCTTCTATATAATATAATATTATACCCGCTCACGTCTTTCCATTCGCCCGCAGCAAAATCGAATTTGCGCATAAATTTTCTCCCCCAAAAAAAAAAAGAAAATGACAATAAAAATGACAAAGGCGCTTCGTTCGCTTCATAGCCACGAAGCTACAACAGCAACAACGACCGCTAATCACAAAGCGTTTATCAGAGGAAGCGCTCCATTCCATCCCTCACAAAATACAAAATACAAAAAAAAGAGGAGAAAATAGCACCTCCAAACTCCTCGTGGTGTGTCTCTCCACCTGTCAGTTGGTAATAAATTATTATCATTAATATTTTGCGCTTGATTTTGCTCCCCCGCAGGAAGGACTATCGTAGCCGGATAACGGCTGGCAAGGACCAAAAACGAAACGTTTTTTGCATAAAAATTAAGCCAACCACCGAATGGTGAGCATTTTTCGAGTAGCATTTTTTCGGGGTAATAGAATAGAACAAAAGCGTCAACAAAAATGTTGAAAGACACGGCAGGAAATTCTAGTCTTAGAAGAGTTGCTTTAGAACTGAATAGGAATTAGTTATAGTCATTTGAAAATTTATAAAAAAAAATGTTTTTCAAGAAGAATATCTTTAAATCATTTATCTGTAAATCATTTTCGTAATATTCAAATATTTATTGATCTTGAAATATTATTTTTGGTATATTTACAATAATATTTTCTTAGATTTCTCTCTCTGCACGTGTGTGTCTGTGCGTGAGTTGGGCAAACTTTACAAACACCCTCGAAGTGCACGCGATAATGGCTCCCAATTTGGTAATTAATCACGTCCTCGTTCCTATTCCCCGCTCCTTGTACGTTTTTTTCTCGCCAAAAACAGCCACAGCTGCCCATTAGGGCTGAAGGAGGACGGATGGATTGTAGGATGTAGTAGGGCAGCAGCCACCTAGGCAGGCAGCCAGGCATTTTCCTATTTTCCATTAGCTTTCCGTTGTGCTATGCTATTTTATATATATGTTATGTATATATATGATGGAATTTTTCGTTGCAGTCAACGTTAAAATGAAGCGAATTTGAACGAACGATAAAATAATTACCTTTATGATTATTTTTGGTGGGTCTTTATGGAGGGACTTTGGTGGGGTTTTTGGGTGGAACTCGGGGGTTTCTAAGGTGTATGTGAGGCTCAGCTCGGCATGGTTCGAATGTGCCAAACGTGTCTAATTTAGCGGCTTAAATTTATAGCATTTGTGCGCTTAAAATGTTTGGCCATTCCATTTTATGACCTCCACCGAAGGCAATTGATGGGTTGGGTGGCTCCAAGGGTGGTTTCAGCTCCTTCTCCTGTGCCTATTCCTATGTGAGAGAGAAGATTCTTGCTATAAATGGTGGAATGTGTTGTGAAATGGATTTGGAAGTCAACTTTTTTAAGGGAAATCTATGTTCGAATTGGTTGGCAATTTGTTAAACATTTTCGTAGCATACTTTTTGGGGCTTGAAGTGGTGAAAATTGGCAATGGAAAAAATAAGAAATACTTTTATAACCCAATTTATTTTTTTTTATAAAAACAAGTGCTACCTAACACTTATTTTGGTATGAATGGAGAAATAATATATTTATATTAACTTAAAGAATTTTATGGCTTTAAATTAAAGGTAAAAGTAAGAAGCAGCCTTAGATACTTTTAGTGGAAACTGTTAAAGAAAATTTTTAATAGTAATAAATAAAATCTCTCGGTTTTATTTATATATATTTATTGGGTCATAAGTTGTTTTTAAGGTATTATTTTTTTTGTTTTCTGAAGTTTTTGCAGCTCTAAAACCTTTTATAGCCTGCGGAGATTGCATTCTTTGCCGTGATGTTTATAGTTTCGTTCTTAACTTCAAAAGGATTTAAAAAATGTTATTTCCCATTCGTAAAACTTATGCAAACAATTTTAAAATGCCTTGTTTTAGCAAAACATAAGATACACAATACAAAGAAAGCAAGAAAATAAATAAGGCTGGCTGAATATAATAGTTTTCATTTCTTAAAATCATGAATTACATTTTGAAATGTGCAAAAAACATACCAATCTGTTATGCCCGCCCTGAAAATGAAAATGCAGGAACGCCTTCTACGATTTTTCCATGCATATTTTTCGACAAAAAAACCCGTTCTTAAATTTTGTACTCCACTTTCCATTTGCCAAAGAAGGACAGGGAGCAGGAGCCGGCATAGCACAAACACACACGTCCTCCACTCCAATTCGAATGGCAAAACCATTATTACTCGTTCTCTGCCATTTAACTGCCAAATTACAGAGGCACCCCTGCCTCAGCCAGGCAGCCAGCAGCCGACAAAAGCAAACCGCATTCGAATTGCGTGCCCACGAAAATTAACTGAAAACGTGAAGCCACCTAGAAAAACGAATCCAGAAAAAAAACCAAAAACGGAAGGAAATGTGTAGTGTGGTTGCGGTGGGTTACAGAAGAAGAAAAAAATAAAGTAAAATGGGGTGAAAAAACAAACTGAAAATCAAATATTTGCCATATTTTGCAATTGGAAAATCAACGACAGCACGCAAAGGCAAAGGCAAAACGTATCGCCGAGGCTCTGAATCCAGTTGGAATCCTTTTAGAAACCGGGACACACTCACACATACGAGTGTTTCGTTCTTTCCTACCTCAATCAGGACGAAAATAAAAAATGGCGGCTCTGCTGTTTCCGGTTTCTGTTGCTGCTTTTGCTCCGCTCTCTTCTTTTGTTTTTCTTTCGTTTTGTTTTGTTTGTTGTTTGTGCAGACCCATGAAAGATTTCACCGAAAAATTCCCATCAAATTTTTCACCTTGTATACTTTTGCTGGAATATAAATTTTCTATATATGTATGTATGTAATATATGCGAGCGAGTGACACACCGCCGCAGAGGCGGGTTTATTTGTGTTTATGCCAAGTGACCCCAAAGAACGAGTGTGCTCATAAAAAAAAATACTAGGAGAAAAAATACAAAAACAACAACAACAACAAAAATGGCCCAAAGCAACAAATGCATTTGCAATGCAAAACTGGAGCATACACATACACACATACATATATACACACAGGAAGCGACCAGGCAGGCAGCAAGGACAACCCAGCGACTGTTGCATCTGTCCACGCCCCCACATTTACCCACCGCCCACCGCCCAACATTTTCCCATGTGTGTTCTCCATTGCATTGAATTGGGAGTTGAGGGAAATTATTTATAGCAGACATGTTTCTACGTAAAATACCCCGTTATTTCCATTAAGGAAAACCCAAAAGATTTTCATTTCGGGGGATTTCCTGTCTTAACATAAATTATTACAATGCAATTTAAATGACTTTATGTGGAAACGTAAACTTAAAAACATCTAGAAAGTATGGAATAGAATTATAACATTTGCTATTTCTTTACATTGTAAATAAGAACAAAGAAATAAACAAAGCAACAGATAAGGATCCCTTACAACTTTCAAAACTTGTTAGTAGTTAAGGATTTTTTTTTTATTTATAAGAAAAACTGCTTTTAATTTCCCACATATTAAACATCTATTCATAGGAACTTCACTTAATATATCTCTCTGATTTTAATAAATTTTCAAAACACCTTTATAGGATATCAAATTCCTTAAACCATCTTTATTTCACACTCTTTTGTGTTATCGTTTTGCGCAACTGGCACTCAATAAAACAAAAATCTCTCTGGCCCATGATTCATATGCATTTCCCGGTACCATGTGTGTGCATTAGAACGGATGTCATGGCGGTTTTTCTAGCGGTAAACAAAAGCTTTACAGCGGAGCCGCAGCTGCGATGCTCTGTGGTTTTTATTTACGGCAAAAGCAAAAAAACAAAAACCCCCCACGCCAAACCAGATTATTTATGCCGAAACTAAAACCGCATAGTGGAAAAACACCTGAAAGCTCACGTACCATATTGTCATTTACACTTTATTTTTTCTATTTCTCTATTCTAAATCTGCGATTCAATAGTTTTAACTTTAAAATATTCAGCTCAATACTTTCTAATTTAGTAATTCATTTAAATAATTTGAAAGACATTTAAATAACCTTCTTTTTTTAAAGTTTTATATAAATTAATGCAATGGTTAAAATGTAATAAATAAATATTTGAATATAAAATAGAATATATTATTTAAGTGCTGACAATTGTCAGATTTATGTTTCGATATTAAGTTTAAACTTTAAAGATTATAGTTATAGTAATCGCTATTTATTGATATTGATACGTGTTAGTTTTTAATATTTTCTAATGGAATTCTTACAAAAAATTCCATAGAAAATAAGCAATATCAATAACAATAAAGGACTTTTTCGATAACAGTTTTAATATTATAAAATAATGTTATTAACTCGATATTTCGGTGTCGGTTTCTATTATTCCCTTTATGTTTTGGTAAAAATATTTACCATAACATTTTGATCCTCTGTAATAATTTAGTTATTGTTTCCTAGTAACAAAAGAAAATTCCAAATTTTTACCAATTAACTTTTTGTCGATATTTTATTATTTAATTAATTGTGCACCGTATTGTTAATTATAATTTAAGCTACAGGATAAATATCAGACTACTGTGGCTTTCGGCTGGATATTCTATTATATTTTTCATTAAATACTTTATCCTTAACAATGAATTTTTTTCCTTTACTTTCTTTAGGGGAGCTCGTCTAGCGCCGCCGCCGCACCACCAACACCGCGCAGCGCCTTCCCCGGCGCCCCGCTAACCGCCTCAGCCGTCGCACTCAAGGGCGCCCTACCTCAGCGTCCACCGGCCATGACCAGTCCCGCTGCTGCCGCCGCTGGCGCCGCTTTGGCCGCTGGTGCTCCGTATCGAGGCGCCGCCAGCTGGACCCCGCAGGGTTATGCCCCAGCAGCTGCAGCTGCCGCAGCCGCTGTTGCCCAGCAGGCAGCATACCGTTATACGGCGCCGCTGCCCCAACCGGCGTATGCCGCCTACACGCCGCACACGGCCACCACACCGGCCACAACCACGGTGAGTAATTGTGAAAAATATTTAATATTAAATTATACGAACTAGAATTCATAAAATAGTACATTTTTGTGGGGAATTTCAAATGATTACTATTCAAAAATATTTAAAAAGAGATGTTTTTGAACCTAAGAGAAAGGGATTAGTCTCTAGAAATGACGAAAAGGTTTATTTATTATAATCAATTTATCAAGATATTAATTACAATGTTGTGAAGCCTATTTCTTATTACCATAATATTAAATAAATACCCCTCTTAGTCGAAAGGGTATTTATTACAGCTTTAATTTATTAAAGAATAAGTATAGAAGTCGATTAAACTTTAGTCAGGAAACCTATATCAGTGGAATACCTATGGAAAAATAATGAAATTTGGATTATTAATTAGAAAGTTATGAAATAACCCAATCATTACAACAATCTAACTCATACTGCTCTAAAATTGATTGTCTCATCCCTATTCATCGATTTAAATAAAATCTTAACCCTTTCTTATCTTATACTGAAACCTCCAAATCAACTCGAAATATATAATCATATAAAATTTACCAAAAAAAGCCATTATTAAATCGAAACATTGCTGCTGTGCAAGCACAAATTTTCTTCGCATAAAACGCACAAAAAAAATGAGATCCACTTTGATGAATTCCTCAATTCGTGTGTAATGGTGCGAATAATCGAAAATTTATGTGCGTCCATCAGGACAAGCAAATGGAATTCAAGTGTTTTTACACTTCCAAGAAACTACCTCTATTAACTCGCTCCTTCGCCTGCTGCAGAAAGGAACTGGTTCTACCATTTCCTTTCAACTTATTGATTGTCAAGTGGAGTTCCTCAGTTTGACAGGAGAAATAGTCTTGGAAAATTGCTGGAGGCAGGCATAAGAAGAAGCGCGTTCTGTCATTTATTGAAAATTGCTGAAGCAGCAATTTATTTATGGCACTCACTGTTGTTTGGTTCAAGTTTTCTTGGCCTCTTTCCTTCCTCACTCTATAACCGTTCTGCATAGCTAAAAGGGGGTTTCTTGTACTTCTTTGGTGAAAAGTTTATTTTTTTCTTTATAATTCACATTTTGCTTATATGCTTTAGAGATTTTTTATTCTTATTCTTATCTGAAATTCTTTTACCTGTGACTAGAGGATATAACGCTGCGATTCTCATTTTATATGTCTTTAAGAAGGGGTTTTCTGTGATGGTCATATTCAGTGACCTAGAACTCATAAAGTTTATATTTTTATGATACTTGTTCTACACATTTAAATAACCTATTCTTAGTCATATATACATACAAAGACCTTTCTCTGCGATTCTTTACCCTAGCAGCTAAAGTACCTCTCTCTGCGATTCTCAATCCTTGAAGCAAAGCTTAAAAGGTCTATGATTCTGACTTTCTCTTATTTGTTATAATTTTTTATGAATATATATGCCAAGATTCACTTTCCACAAGTAGTTAAGTTAAGTTAAAGTACATCTCTCTCTCTCTCTCTCTAAAATTCTCATTCCCTGTAGCTAAAGTATCTCTCTCTCTCAGTGATTCTCAGCCTCTATACAATCTTTCTCCACAATTCTCATTCCCTGTAAACAAAGATTTCCATTCCCTTTGGCATCTTTATTTCTGGCATTAATTGGCCTCGCCCTCGTTTTGATTTGTGTCCTATGTCCTTTGGAGAAAGATAGCACAACTGGTGAATACCAGTCAAGTCTTTGGGCAATCAATTAGCCCGTTCTGTGGTTTTTCACACTCGGACATTCATCAAAGTCAGGCCCGAGCTGCTCGCTGCTCCCTGCTCCCTGGTCATTTTCAATTTGAAAGTCAGACAACAGCCACAGTATCAGCGCGCAGCATCATTAATAACGAACAATTAAGAATTTTCGTGGATTCGAGTTGACAAGTTGAAACTGCCACCGCCTGTGTGCCATCGACTTAATCAGCATTATCTGACTCCGGACTCATTTCCTGACTTTTTTGGCGTCCTGGCTTCGGGGGTTCAAAAGTTCGCTGCTGTTCAAATATAATCTCTGGTCCTGGCCTCACCAACTCGCAAAGCGATTGAATCGGCATCGAGCATGGGGCATGGGGCATCATCATCATCATCATGACGAATGATGCTGACTGGTTTTGACAAATTTACCAACCACCAAGCAGGCAGGCACAGCTTGTTATGTGCATAGCTATCTTGCTTTTTGGCAAAGAAGAGTTTTCAATTTGATTTACAAATGATTTTCGATTCGAACGGAGAGATACTCCTTGGTGCTACGCTTCCACCCCTTTTTTTTCTTCTCTTTTGTTGATGGCCCAAAGGCAGTCAGAACAACTTCTAATAAATGCGCCGAAAAAGTGCTGAAAATAAACGAGCAAATAAATAACCAGTCAGCAGAGTCACATAGCGCCACCCCCTCAGGTAGTTTTTCCTTTAACTGGCGGATGGAAAAATTCTTTCATTTTTCTCGGTTTTCGTGGCCTGCGGGGCCAGGCTTTTCTCGTGCTCCTTTTCTCTTAACTCACCACTTTTATTTCTATTTGCTTTGCTCCTTTCGGTTTCTTCGTCCTGTCAGCCCGCCATTCATTCACTCATTCATTCATTCATTCAACGTCGTCAATGGCAGTTAAATAATCCAAAAAGGAAATGTATTTTTTGTGGGCGTCATCGTCGTCGTCGTCGTCGTCGTTGAGGCTCTCCTGTTGTCCAGTTCCAGTTCCAGTTCGATGGCCATTAAAGCTGCATGCGAATGTTGCTCATAAATATAAAGTGCGGCTACTTATTTCGTTTTCCTCATCTTTTCTCTCGTGTTTTTCCTCCGCTGCCCAGCAGTTCTGTATTTTATGAAAGGTTTTCCTGCCACGGGGGCCATAGATTATCGCTTTTGATTTGAGTGTCGTTAGCCTGGCGGCGGCGTCGCTTTCTGTTCTGTTCTGTTTCCCCAAATTGTTCCACTTTCTTGATGTTGGGCAAAAAAATGCTTGACGGAAAAGAAAACACCCCGCCAAACAAAACGGAATTTTGCTTTAATTATAATTAGTTTGGTGTTTTCGGGGTCCGGACAAGTCTCAAGAGTGTACACAAAGTTTCTTGATAGCGATCTTTTTTTTGTCGACAAGTTGTGGCACAACTAAGGCGAAAAAACGTAAAAAAACCAAAAGCTTTGGTTTGCAAAACAAGAATATTAAGCCCAGATTATTTTAATACATAAAAACGAGGGGTAAATTTAATTTAAGGTTTTATTTTTTGCCTTGGATTTTGTAATTTTATCATTTACATATCCTTAATAAGTCTTTTTCATGATCCTTAGCTAAACGCTTTATAACAGTCATTTAAAAAGCTCTCTGAATTATCTGAGCTATTTACATTTATGTATTTTAAACGTTATTTCTGCAATTCTTATTTAACATATTTAAAAATTCTCATTACTTGCACCTAAGCGCCTTCCTCCTCGATTCTCATTGATCGTACGTAAGCGTATTCCTCCTCAATCAGTAGGCGCAATTAAGGGCCTTCCTCCTCGATTCTCATTGCATGCACCTAAGCGCCTTCTTCCTAGATTTTCATAGCCTGCAGCTAAAGGGCCTTCCTCCTCGATTCTCATTGCTCGCACCTAAGCGCCGCCCTCGATATTCATAGCATGCAGCTAAAGGGCCTTCCTCCTCGATTCTCATTGCTCGCACCTAAGCGCCGTCCTCCTCGATCGTCATGGCATGCAGCTAAAGGGCCTTCCTCCTCGATTCTCATTGCTCGCACCTAAGCGCCGTCCTCGATATTCATAGCATGCAGCTAAAAGGCCTTCCTCCTCGATTCTCATTGCTCGCACCTAAGCGCCTCCCTCCTCGATCGTCATGGCATGCAGCTGAAGGACCTTCCTCCGCGTTTCTCATAGTTTGGACCTAAGCGCGTTCTCGTGGCATGCAGCTAAACATTACTCGCACCTAAGCTCCTTACTTCGCGATTCGCTCTGGATGCAACTGAGGGCCTTCCTCCTCGATCCTTATTGGATGCATTTAAGGGCCTTCTTCCGGGATGCTCAAAGCCTGCACTTTAGCGCCTTCCTCCGTGAATTCATAGCCTGGACTTCATCCTCTACGTCATTCTCATACCATCCACCTAAGCCTCTACGCAATTCTCACGTAAGTCTAAAATCTGAAAAAATATCTTATATTCACTATATATTATTTAAGAAATACATTATACTATATCATATTATACTATCATATCATACTATATTTTTTTCTAAAATAACTTTGCTTGACCTCTTCCAATCTAAATCTTTCTAAAGCCCCTTTCTGTAAAATTCGTATTTCCTGTAGCTAAAGTATCTCTTTCCATAATTCTCATTCCCTGTAGCTATAGTAAGTGTCTCTCCGCAATTCTCACGTACGCCCGCGTAACCTCAAGTAAATACAAATAATCCCAAAATTACTTAGTTCGACTATTTATTATTTAAAACATACAATTTGCTATATAATTTGTGTTACTTTAATAATCTTGTTTGGCCTGTTCGTATCTAAATAAGACAAAGTCCAATTCCAATTGTCCCTGGGCGTTATTCAGTCGAAGTTCTTGAGTAGAAATGCGTTTGGCCTGAGAACACAAGAGATTATAATCATCTGGCGAGGCAGCAGCATGACCAGATGTCCTCCATTCTGCCCACTTTCTTGTGCATTCTGTCATGGAGTGGTAAAGAAGGAGGAGAAAATGGAACAGAGACATCATTACAATCGCAAGGAGTGGAAATTTTCTTCATTGCTATTCAATGCTCAGTTACATTTCCGTTTCTAAGGACAAGTCCTGCCTTGGTTCCACTCTCTTGGGCAGCGCTGCATTGTGTTACGCAATAACTATGAGCATTAGTTTAATTTTAAACTAGTTTATGTATATTCAGTGCCTCCAACTCTTTTGAGATGTGCACACTTGAGAGCATTTTGCCGCTTTCCTTCCTGTTCCCAACTTGTTGAATTTGAATTGTATTCCGTTGAGAAGAGAAGACAGCTGAAACGCATAAATGTAAAT